CCACCGCCGCCGGCCCCGTGTCCTCCAGCGAGGTTGTCCCCGCGGGCTGGAACCTCTGCACCATCGTCGGGGTGCTGCTGGGCTACCCGGCGGCGTACGCCTTCTCCATGGAGGAGGGCGCCGAGAACTGCCTGGCGCTGACGCCGCTGAGGGTGTTCACGGTCTGGGCCTCCTGCCCCTGGATAAAGGACGGTTTCAGGGTCCAGATCTACTCCTTCAGCATCCCGGAGAGCCTCTGCGCGGAGCTGATGGATGTGCTGGACGCCTGGCGCGATGAGCTGAAGGAGGCCTTCAGGGTGCAGAATGACTTTGTCGATCTCCGCATTTTGAGCGAGGTGGTGTCTCTTCCAGCGGTTGCCTTGTAAAGCACAAACTCAAGACTTTTCGGCTTTTACACAGAATCACAGAATCGTAAGGGTTGGAAGGGACCTCAGGAGATCATCTAGTCCAACCCCCCTGCTAAAGCAGGCTCACCTAGAGCATGCTACACAGGACTTCATCCAGGCGGGCTTTGAATATCTCCAGAGAAGGAGACTCCACAACCTCCCTTGTATCAGGGACTGAGGCGAGAGGTGCGGTTCCTGTATGTGGCAGCCCCCCAAGGCTCTCAAGAGGCCCAAGAGCACCAAAGGCTGAGTTTTGACGATCGCAGGCCCCCAACATCGTAGGCCGGTTGCGGATCAAATACGTGTAGGTCCCAGAAGACCAGCACGTGGATGTACGTGCTCACAGCTGCTCTGCAGCCGCCATCCGGACTGTGCCCTGTAAAGTCAGGGTATATTTATTTGCTGCAAACAGCTGAGTATTAATAAAAAATTTAACCACCATGGTATTTTGAATTTGTGAAGTTAATTGTAGGCTCCGTATCTTATTTACTACTTGTGCAACGTGGTGTCATGCACCGCCTGGTAGCTGAGGCTGCGCTTGAATGAGGGGCAAGTGCTGCTGTAAAACCTGCACAGCGTAGCTCCAGAAGGGGCTTAAGCCCGCTGGCTCTGTGGAATTAATGTGGTGCTGACAGTGAAAGGGAAGCGGACGTGGCTGTGGGGACGCTTGGCCGCAAGACAGGCTGAAAGAGCGGTGGGCAGGACTGGGCCCAGTGGGTGGGAGGGAAGAAAATTGCTCAGGACAGGCAGTGCACAGGGGGAGTACGAGGGGACTGTGCTAAAAAGCTGCCCTGAGCTGGGTTTCTTTGTCAGGTATTGGTAGAGATGGTCCAGGGTCGAATACCTCCCATTTAGGGCAGCAATAGTGAAGAGAATTTTGTAGTCCTCTTTACCGCTGGGCATGAAAGCCAGGGAGGCTGGATCCTGAGGGCGCGGGATGTCTTGTCCCTGCTGCCCCGTCCCTCCCGCCCCACGTGAGCCCCGGGAGTGGTGGCTGGAGCGGCTTTGTCCCTCAGTGCCATGGGGACCGAGCAACGTGACACAGAATAACCAGAGCGGCCAAGGGAAGGTGTCATCTCCCAGTGTTTATTGGAGCCACAGGAGTTTGGAATGAGACCAGCTCAGGACACGAACCAAACAGGCGCGTACAAAACAGCGGACGGCGCGCTGTGGCGAGGGCGCGTTGCTGTTGGTGAAGCAGAAGTCAGTTCTTGCAGTGGGATGGGTCATGGAGAAGGTCCTTCACAGTCTGTAGCTTGCGAGGAAGGTGGCTATGGCCATTGCTATCACTGTCACCAGGAGAGGGACCCAGTGACTGTGCCGTCTCTGCAAGGAGAAGCAAGCGTTACTGGGAAATTGGCGGGGAGAAGGAACTCATCTCATCTCTAGCACACATGCCATTCGTCTTTCCGCACTGCACAGATAAATGGGGGGATCTTTCCCAGACCGATCTGCAGCCTCAGTCCGAAAGCCCTGGGGGTCGGGGCGAGGAAGGCCTCCCACCTTTGCCTGCTTGCTCTGGAAGTGGTTGAGCTCGTCCCGGCACTGGCGCAGCCTGGTCAGGCAGGAGCGGTACTCCTCGCTCAGGGCCTCCAGCTCCGAGCGCAGCTCCGTGCACTGCAAGCAGAGCGAGGGGCCGTTAGCAGGAGGGATCCCCTCGCTCTTGTACGCACCGAGAGTGGCAGGGCTCCCGCAGCGGCTGCAGCGCTTCGCCCGTGCCCGGGCACTGCCGTTCACTTCTGCTACCCGTGTGCCCAGATATACCTACAGGGGACAGAGCAGACCCCAGCGTTACTGGGAGTGTGGTGAGAGAGGCAATGCCTGGCTGGTTACCCTCCCACGACCTGCTTGGCTTTGCTGCCGTCTTTCACGTCGCAGGGGAGAAAGAAGCAATGGGTTATTTTTATGGCCATAGGAATGTGCAGGTCAGGAAGAAGACATGGAGTGCAAACTGGCGGCAGGGTTTGCCTCTCATTCTGAAATTCAGACTGCATTTCGCTGACTGCGAGAGCCACCACGGAGTCCTTTAAACCCTAAAAGAGACACGGAGCACACGGGACGGGTGCCTTGGTTGCACTGCACAACCCCAAAGCCCAGCACCTTTGGTCCCAATGGCCACGTGGCGAGAGACCCCGCTGCCGTCCCGGTGAGCGGTGCGGCGGTGGCTGGGGAAGGGGGCTGCCTGTGCCCAGGGGGGCAGCCGCCCGGGGCGGCCGGGCCCCCACAGCTGTGCCCATTTGCTGTGATTGTGCTTTACAAAACCCTTCCCCAGGTGCTGCTGGGTGATGCCTGGTGTTGGGGCTGTGCTTATCAGCCTGGCTCAGTAGGATGAGCTCTTCTCCCGAGTGGCTCCGAGCTCTGCTACAGTAAGTTATAAATTTATTTATTTTTTTAATAAATCCTTGCTATCTAAGTGCTGCTGTAAGAACTGTGGGGGTGTTGGTTGGCTGAGGGCATGGTTTGTGCTACCAGTTTTGTGTCCTGAAACAGTCTTTTAGTTGGGAAAGAGCATGTAAGAGGTCAGAAAGCTTTGAAGTTTTTGGTAGCCCAGTTACGAGGGCGCTGCTTTTGTTAGCAGGCCCTTGCTGTTATTTGCAAGCCTTTTTTCCTTCTCTCCCTTCTTTGTGCTCAGGGCTTCAGCTCCTAAAGCGTGGCTTTGGCTTTTCCCTGTGAGACTTGTTGAGACTCTCTGAGAGCAGAAATGGGTTTGTGGGGAGGGCTCTGCTGCTACGGCCCCGGGCGCCCCGCTGCTGGTGCCCTGCCCTTGCATGTGGATGCTGCACCTGGGGTTTAGGTGAGGCCGGTAGCAGCATAAAAATTCGGCAGAAGTAATCCTTCCAGGAGATACCGAGCTCAGTTACTTCCAGGAGCTTTGGTGCGTTGTGTTGTGCTGCCGCTGAGCGCTGACCCCAGCAGGGAGCTCGGTCCCAGCCCGGGTTCAGTGACTTCCTCACCTCACTCTCCTTTGCCGCGAGCTGGGATGTCCTTTTCTGCATCTCATCCTCCAGGCTTTCTTCTCCCGCCTCCTCCTCGGGGTGCTCTAACAGAGCGTTTTGTCTTTCCTTGGCAGGAGTGAGAGGTGGGGTCTGCGTGCTGCAAACCTGGTCTAGAAAACAGTCAGGCTTCTGATGAGAAACAGGTCCAGGCTTTCAGTTTGCTTTAGATCTTGTTTACTCAGCACAGTTTAAAGATAACATTTGTGTGCTACGCACGCAGCAGAGGACACGGGAGCTGAGTTAGTTATCATGGGCTTGCTACAAATTAATTGTCTTTAGAGGAATATTTATAAGCAGTTGCCAGAAATGGAAGGGAGGGAGAGCTTAAATGCCTTTTATTGCTCTCTTTCAAGTACAGCTGTAGTTGCAATTACGAACTGGAATGTATTGGGCTTGGGGAGAAAATGGCATAGCCACTGAAGTAGAATTTGCAGGGAAATCCATTTATTTTTTAAAAGTCTTTGCCATCATAAATACACTTAATGATAACTAGCAAAATAGAGTAACTTGCTTTGTGCAGCTTTAAAATAATCCTTTATTCTAAACCAATGTAGACTTCTCCTAGAGCCAGGTCTAAGGTTCCCGTTTCCAGTGAGGGGATGCTAGGTTACAAAGTTTGCTGACCTTTCCTTTGCACCGTCGCCTCCTGGCTCCTCCGCTGGCTGGGCTGGTTCTGTATGAAGCCTGCAAAGGTGAAATGCCGCCGTTACCGCCCCCAGCGCTAGCGCGGGTCTCCCGCTTTGCGCTCCTTGGTGTTACTTACTGTGCAAATGGCTGATGGTTGCCTCCAGCGTTACCTTCTGATTTTGTTCTTTTTGCAATTTATCTGAAATGATGATAAGAAAATCAGGGTTGATGCAATTCTCTGTATCTTACGCAAGGGCGGCAACTTTCCCTTTTCCCGTGTGTGTCAAGCGGAGTGGAGATTGCTGGCTACACTGACATTTCTTCTCTGAAGGGCTGTGATTTGTAGCTGTTAATTGCCCTTTCAGTTTTGGCAGCTTTTTCTAGCGTGCCTTGCGTTCTATTAATTTATGGTTTATTTTAAAGCTGTTTGTGTGAGACCTGTTATGAAAATAGAACTGCCACCCATTTACTCTTCCTTAATTGTGTTTTGGAATAGCCGTGTGAAGTATGTGTGAGCTTCCCTGCCTCTACCGCTGCTTTAAGACACTATGAGCTCGTATTTATATGCTGGTCATATTGGCCACCAGGCAGCAGCACCTCAGGCGGTGATGGGCGATGCCCTGAGACCTGAGTGGGATGGCATTGCTGTATTTGGGTCTGGCAAGGGTTCACAAGTCCCCATCGAAGCTGAGGACTCTGGGTTTGGGTTTTTTTTTTTGGGGGGGGGGGGTGTCTTTATAGTTGAAACTCAATACGAGAAGTGAAATGGCTTTTCTAAAAGTCCTTTAATCTAGAAATGACTTTAGGAGCCCTTTGGGAACCCGAGGCGCTCTCGGCAAGCCAAGATGTGCAGCACATTGAACCTTTTGCACGCGTGTGTGCTTGGCTTTAAGAACCAGGGTTTTAAGACCGTTTTCCTTGTATCCTCCATTCATTTGGAGGGCAGACCCCGTTCCCCTGCCCACGATACCTTCGATGGCGCTGATGTGCTCTGCCTTCAGGTCGTTGTCCTCCCGCAAGGCGCTGGCTCGCTGGCGGAGCGCGGCGTGCTCGCTCTGCAAGCTGTGCAGGGCCTGCTGGAGTTCCTCGTTCCGTGCGTCTGCTCGCTGGGGGCGAGAGGAGCCCCGGCGTCAGCCCAGCCCCGGCACTGGCCGGCCAGCAAGGGAAGGCAGCCCCCCAGCTGAGAGCTAGGTTGCATGAGTCGTGATGAGTGCTAGGTCACTGTGCCTCATCCAGCGGGGCTTATCGTGTAGCGATCTCAACCGGGGGGGGGGGCTTCCCTGCTTGCAGACTGGAAGACACACACGCCCGAGGACACCGTTCCTGCGGGCAGCCAACGTACCTGCAGTTCGCTTTGCAAAACAAGGAAGCTGTTCTCGAGTTCGGTGTGCGCTGTGGTCATCTTGGTCAATTCAGCTTTGACCGTGGTGTAGTGCTCTTGCCAGAAGGTGAGGTCCTCTCTCGTTGTTGCCAGGCTTCTCTGTGGAGGAGATGAGGACCCCCGGGTGGGCTATGACCACCACCCGGCAGGACCGTGCCAGGCTGCCCTGAACAACACCCATGGGTGCTCGGATCAGCATGGGGAGGGCAGCGCTGCTGCATCCCGCACCAGGGTTGCTATAAACCTGTGCAGGTCCGATGCCAACCGATGGATGGAGCAAACATGGGCAGAGGGTTTGTAGTGGAACCCAATTTCCTCTGCTGCTGGGAGGATTTAGAAGCCTGGTAGTATCTGGGATAAGACTTGTTTTTCTGAAAATACCAGTTATCCTGTGGGTCAAAGCAAATTGCTACCACTTGGGGAAAATCTATTTTCATATAAAAGAGCAACTCCAGTAAAAGCTGCTCTGGAGACCTTGTGCCCGGGATGTCTGTGTGGCCTCTTGGTCTGTGCGTGCAGAGCAGGGCATGGGAAGAAGGGATGGTGGAGGAGAAGGGATTACATTTAAAACTGCCAAACAGCAGTAGGTTTCCCCAGCTGTGTGCTGCTTTTAATAACCTGATGCATGGCTCACAAGATGAGCACAGGTTGCGACTAAGCTGCTTTGGACTTTGCTCAGTAGCTAAAAAAAAGTCTATTTTTGTGTCTTTGCTGCTAATGGTAAGCTAGCCATTGCCTTTCTGTGGACTGTGGGGGCTCTGTCACAGGGGGGGGGCTGGCTCGAAGCCAAGCCCGGTGCAAAACACGGTGCTTACTTGCGAGTTTTGCAGCTGCTGCTCTGTTTGGAGCTTGTCCTCCAGCATCTTCTGAAGAGCCTCTTTTGCCTTCTGCTCGTAGGTCTGCTTCTGGTCCTCCATCTCTATCAGGATCTTCTTCACACACTCCTTTGAGTAACTCTTTTAAAGGAAGAATTCAAGTGCTTGAAGGGTCTTATCTGGCATATTCCTAACCTTGCTAAACCTGAGTATTAGCAAATCCAGAGTGTGTAAACGCTACTGCTAATTTGCTGTGAAGCCTTGTTGCTTCAGCAAAGAGGAAAAAATGATTTTCAGATCCATATCTAATCAGATTGCTCTAGAAACTGAGACCTGACCTAACTGCACGGTTTGGTATTCTGTTCTCACACTTTTCTTCACACCCACACCCCCCCCTCCCCCCTTGTTCCTCAGCAGCCGGACATTACCTGGGTGCAGGCCTGCAGCTGATTTTCAAGTGCCCTCAGTTTACCCTTCAGTTTATCTTCGTTCAACTGACCCTGGGGAAAAAACAGTTGAACTGATGTGTGGAGTCATGAACTACACCATATGCCCCCGATATTTTGTTTGCTTGTGTTTGGATTCACTTTTTCCCTTTTCTTAATCTATAATATTGTGGCTAAATCTGGTCAAAGTCTTTTCAGCACTCGGAGTTCAAATAAGCCCTTCATGATCTCCATATAAATGGGATATGGGGGCAGTAAGACTTTCACACACTGAAAAATTCTCCTGAGGAAATTCCACTGGTTACTGAGTGCAGGTTCCTGCAGTGAGAGGAGAAGTCAAGAGCAAGGGGGTTTTTGGGTTGGTCTGGATGGGTCTGGCAGAGGCATTGCCGCCTGTCCCCACGTACAGCCCTGCTCCCTGGCTGGTGGTTCCTCCCTGCGATGCTCCTTGCCTAAAGCTCCGGCTGGTGCCCAGGTCTGGTCTTGCTGGTCCCCTTAGGGAAAAGGCTGGGTCTGTGTTGCAACATCCCGCAGCTATGTGGGGGGATAGATGGCAACAGTGATAACTGATTTTCCTTGTTATAAACTCCCCTCAGTGTTGGTCAGGCTTCTTGGGGTTTGTGAAACCAGACTGCATGCAAATTCAGATAAAATTTCTAGCAAAGTGTTCACGTAGGCTGTTTCTCTGCTACCAATACCGAGAATGCCAGTATCCTCTCTGCTTATCGCTGTTTGAAGCCAAGCATCTGAAAAAGAAACTCCTTCATGTTACAGGAATAGCTGTTAGACCTAAGCAAAGCCAGATGTGCTGGCGTCTTAGCACTGTTTAAGTTTGGACAAAAGTAAGTTTACAGACCCAAAGAATAAACAGGTCAGTTGTTGGTATGAAGTGCTAATGGCTCTATCCTCTTAGAAAACGGGTAGAACTTTGAAAAGCTTTTTTATATGCAAGATATTACACCTAGTTTCCCTCTGCAGTTTATTTTATCCCACTACCTGCAAAGGCTCACTTTGGAGGGTGGTGGCGTTACGGCCGTTGTGCACGGATGTAAATGATGGCGCGAAGTGTGAGGCAACAGCGCACAGGGCCCGTCCTACGCTTGAGAGCAGAAATGTGCTGGCAAACTCCATTCCTGGAGATGCGGCTTATAAATTGGCAAAAGAACACGGAATATAAAGATTTCTCTGAATGGAAGAAGCTGTCTGGTAGGGCCGTTCCCAGAACGGCATGGCAGTGAGGGGTGAGTATGTGCACATGTATGGGGGGGCATAAAAAATTATGCTTCAGACCAGAAAAGTTATGTGGGCATGTCTTGGTCAAGCCCTTGGGTTGAAGGATATGTAAATGAAAGGGGCTGCTTTAAAAAAAACAAAAAACAAAAACCCAACCCCAAACAATACCCCAAACCAACCAACCCAAACCCCCTCCACAACTAAGCAAAACAACAACCAAAAAAAAACAACCCTGTAGCCCCCATGATCGGGTGGTGGTGGTGGTGGCTTTTCCTCCCTTCTGCAGCATCTCCGGTGACGCTGAGCACCACCCGGGGAGCCCTGCGCTGCACCTTGCTGAGAGCCCAGAGACCCCTCCTGAAAGCCAGGTGGGGGAAAGGATTGGGGCTAATGCCTTCCAAATACGCCCGCTCTTGCAAATACTGGATTTGAATCCTCTGTAGCCCTCGTTTTCAGGGAGTCTGAGGTTATCTGCATAGGCAGCTCCAAAACCTTTCTCAAACTCCCTTCTGCGTTTCTCTACCGCTGTCACCCAGTGCCATATGAGTGTGTTAAACTGTTTTTGGCTGCCAGCGGTAGCGTCTCGCTTGTCCTGTGATGGGTGGATTTGCTGATAATCCTTCCCTTAGTACTTTTAAATAGCGCTTCTTATTGTTGCTTTAAACCAGCTGTTTCTGGAAGGCTTCCAGTTTGCCCAAACACGATGGCCATGCTAGGAAAATGGGTCCCTAAGGTAGTAGGAAATGGCAAAGAGCTTAAACTCTGCAGAGCTGCGAGGTGCTTCCAAAAGTCAGGCTCAACTTCAGAGGTGGGGAAGGGAAGAAAGTGTATTAAAGTAGTCATTTTCTTCTTTAAGAAGAGAACAGCTCAGAAGTAATTACTCTTAGTTATAACTGAGATTTACTGAGCTTCCTTTATCGGGCAGCATTTTTGAATCGACAAAGTGAGTTTTACAACGGATGGGGTATTTAAGGCCCAGAGCGGTGGTAGGAAGGTCTCTTCAACGTGGAAGTAAAATCGTGGGAGGGGGAAGGAACCAAAGACTTCATCCCTTCAGTTTAACTACACCCCATCCTCTTGCAAAGCATTTGCTTGCTCTGTCAAACCAGAAGCACCCACGAACATGAGCAGCACCTCAAAAATTACTCTGGCTGCTTCACGAGTCGCTGCCAGATCACTCGCGTGTGTGCAATCGCCTTTCTTTTGAAACCCAAAATGCTGGAAAGGATTAAAAAGCTTCCGCAGAAAGCATTTGGCATCTCACATGGGCCTGGAAATGGGTGCCCAACTGCCCGTTCCCACGGCACAGGGTTACTGTAGGGGACCTGTTGGTACCTCCCGGGGCCACCCCTCCAAGCAGGCAGCACTGCATCGCTTGCCCCGCTGGCTCTGATGCCAGCGGCGAGTTAATTTTTAGTCCGATGAAAGGCTGAACGCGAGCGGCAGCAGCAAAGCCGCTCCTCGGTAGCCGAGATAGCGAGAAGCAAAGGGCACCCACCTCTTTCTAACTGGAGGTTTCATGGCTGCTTCCTGCAGAGAGTGCCAGGCTGTTTTTTCCTGCTCGTACTTGAAGCAGCAAGCGAGGGCGGAAGCTTCTAACCGCAGCACCTCTAACGCAAGTTTTTTAATACCATCTCACCCAATCGCTCGCTCTTCTGCCCCAACAGAACTTTCAAACCATTTTTTTTTTAATGGCACAATGAACTGTAAATGTGAGTATTTAATAATCCTGTCTAAAACACTTCACAGGTCGCATAAAATGCATCACCTTAATTTCACCTCCTGATAGCAAAAAAAAATAAATAATGGGCCCTGGTTCAGTGCTGCCCAGAGGATTTTTGAGCTGTGGGGAAATAGTTTGATGCAGGGCCGCGATTCAGCAGAGCACCTAAGGCAAAGCATGCAAGAGCCTCGTGGCATTGGGTGCCCTTGTGTTTGGGGCCCAGAATGTCCCCCAAAAGAGCCAGGGCAGAGGGTGTCCCCGGGGGTCCTGGTGAGGAGCAGGCTGGGGGCTCAGCAGGCAGGCTGCATCTGCTGAGTGGTGTTTTTAGCTGTTGTGTTCCCAGATTACAAAACAGCCTGCCTCTTCCCCATCCAACGTGGTGTTTGCCAGCACTTGGATGCACCAGTTTGGCACATCTAAACTTTTTATTTTGGCTAAAAAAAAAAAAGATTGGTTCAAAATATTTACAACTTGTTTTGACAAGGAAAGATAATTTGGTGGAAGAAGGTTGCTTGGGTTCATTCCATTTTTTTCCCCGCTTACACAGCTCTGTTTGCTTTTTATTTTAGAAAGTGGGAAAGGCAAGTATTAAAAAAAACCCAAAACCTTACAGGGGAAAAGGGGTTTGCACTTCTGTTGATCCCAAAGCGAAGTGCATTTTGTAACAGTCTTTTTGGGGGACAAAAAGGGGAAAACTTCAAGCAAAGTAGCCCCCTAACTTCTGAGTTCGTGTTCAGCCCTCCCTGAAAAGAAAGGTGATGGCAGGGAAGGAGGCAGGGCGAGCTCCTCGCAGCCGAGCGGTTCTGCCTGACATCGTGCCTGCTAGGTCACCGCGTCGCCTTTTAAACCAGCAACACCTCCATGCCTGTAAAGCACCGAAGCCAGGCAGAGCCAGGACTCTGCTCTGAGGAAGGGGGAGACCCATGGGGGCTCTTGCTTCTGCGCCCGCTCCCGCTGAGGCAAAGCCCCCCCCCCGCAGATCGCCCCGTGCAGTGCTCTGGTACCTGCCAGGATTTTTCCGATGCTTGCAGCAGCGTGGAAAAAAGCTCCTGCAAAATCACCATCTTCTGCTTGAGCAGCAGCTCGCGGTGCAGGGCCTCCTGCGGGGAAGGGGAGAACCGGTCAGCGGGGCCCCCCGCTCCCCCCTCCAGCTCAGGGCTTCCTCTGCTCGGAGGGTTCAGACAGGTCTTTGGGTTCTGTGGTTTGCCTGTAGGCATTTCTGACCACGGTAAAATTGGGTATGTAACACCTCTTTATTTTTATAATAATTATAACTTTAAAAGTGCTGTTGCACTGACTGAAGACCCCGTGTCCAGGTGGGTACGCGCAGTGTTCGGTGCCTACCTTCAGGTAGTTGGACAGCTGCACCATTTCCTGAAAGGGAAAGGGTCAATGTTTAGAAAATAATCGGATTGCTTCAGTTTATAAACAGTTTATGAACTGGCTACAAAATCCAAATATTTTGAAATAAAACTGGAGTTAATGGCCTGAGCCTGGGTGGGGGAGGAAAGCCGGCTGGGCTCGGCTTGTTTGTTTTTTTTCCAGGGAAGTGAAAATATTTTCTGCAGCAACTTACAGCACTGGAGTTAGGGCATCTTTGCAGTGTAGAGTACAGATCAGGGCAGCTACTGGATGAGAACCATAGCCCCCATGGGACAGAAGCACCCTTCTCTCCTACAGGAGCCGTGTCATCGTTTTTGAAGCTATTGCAATTTAGCACCAGCGTCCTGGCTGGAAATGCTAGGAAGTCATTTCTTTTGCAGGAGTTCAAGGCTGTAGTTAGTTATTATCTGTGTTTTGCTTACCTTATTTAAAACCGCTATTCCACAACTGAAATAAAAAAGAGAGTGTGTTACGGGGGTGAGTGGCGGTGGGGGCCTGCAGCCCTCGGGGTTTTGGGCAGCACCCGCTCGGGGTCGGAGCCTGCTGCCCCATGGGCATCCGAATTCCCAGCCCAGGGAGGGAGGGGACGACTGGCTTACTCTGTCTGCTGGCTCGAGTCTTGCACTCCTGGGCTTGGATTTGTAAGGGTCTGGGTTCCTGTGGAAGCAAAGAAAAAGGATGTGACAGATCTTGC